TTAGCGAGTGGTGGGCGGGCGCGGGGATCGTGGCGCGGGTGGTGGCGTTGTGGTGGTCGTGGTCTTGGTCGTGGGCATGGTGGTCGTCGTGGACATGGTGGTCGTTGACGTGGTGGTTGTGATGGTCGTTGTGGTGGACATGGTGGTCGGGGTCGTGGCATGGTCATGGTCGTGGGTGGTCGTCGTGGGCGTGGTGGTCGTGGGCATGGTGGTCGTGTGGAGCGGTTCCGTGGAATCCCGAAATACCCGAGGAAGACACTGCGGGGGAAGAGGGAGGGGGGAGGGGAGGGATAAGGGGTGGGGGAAGAGGGGAGGAAGGGAAGGGGGGGAAGAGGGGAGGGGAAGGGGAAAAGAACGAGAAAGGGGAGGAGAGGATAAGTGGGAGGGGAAGGGGAGCGAAGGGAAGGGGGGATAAATGGGGAGAGAGGGAGGGGAAGGGGGAGGCGAAGGGAAGGGGAGGGGGAAGGGGAAGGGGAGGGATGAAAAGGGATGCAGGATTGATTCTCAGATCCCCGAATTCTGGTCTGTGGGCGGTCTCGTCGTGTCCGATTTTACAGAAGACCGTCCGAGCTTTTTCGAAATTCGCGTGCTCGTCGTCAAAAAAAAAAAAAAAAAAAAAAAAAAAAACGCTGTTGCACTCCTATTTGCAAGAGGAACATCCTCGCCCGTTGCAAAAATAGAGCGTCAGTGAAGGAAACGCGCCAGACATAGCTGCTGAATTGAAGGAGCATTCCAGACGGGTCCGGGGGAGCCTTCAAGGACCAATATTGGTGCCTCGGAAACCCCCAAGTTGGGATTCTGCATTTTTTCTGTTTTTTCTGTTTTTTTTTTCCTGCTTTTTAAATTCTGCTTTTAAATTCTGCATTTTTTGTTGTGCTTTTTAATTCTGCTTTTTTGGTTCTGTTTTTTAATTCTGCTTTTTAATTCTGCTTTTTTTTTTTAAGGGAAATGCCAAATTTATATCTTAAGTATGGCGTGGAATTTGGAATTTTGCATTTGGAAGATGACTATAAATAAATCTTCCATTTGGAAGATGACTATAAATGCGAGGTTGAGTTACGAAATCTGGGGGTGAGAGAGAGGTGTAAATTAAGAGGGGTACATTGTAGGATTTTCTTTTTTTTCCCTTTTCGTTACTTTCTTACAAAGCGATTTTAACCTGTTACGGAATCGCAACGCTCATGAGGACACGCATTAACAAATGAAGTAAAGTTGTCTTAAAGGATAAAAGAAAAAAAGAGAAGAAAAAGATTGCCGTTATTATCACATCACACCAGAAGATAATCGTCATTTTAATGCCAATATATTATCTTTCTTCGGGATGAAGTTGTGCGGCGTTCAGTGGGCCGTGCGGCGGGGAATCCGATAGCGTCTGAAAAAGAAGAAGAAAAAAAACAGTGGTTCTTTTCCTCACTATAAACCCCTATCCCCCTTTCTCCCTTCCTCTCCTTCCCCCCTATAAACCCCCTTCCTCCCTTCTCCCTCCTTCCCCTGCCCTCCCTTTCCCCTCCCTCCTCCCTTCCTCCCTTCTTCTCCTACTCCCCCTATAAACCCCTTCCCTTCCTCCCTTCCTCTCCGTCCCCCCCCTTCCCCTCTTTCCCCCCTTCCTTCCTCCCTCCTCCTCCCCCCCTTTCCCCTCCTTCCTTCTCCCTCCCCGCCCCCCCCTTTCTCCTCTCACACACACGCATCGCTAGGTCAACAAAGTCGTGCAGTCTGCGGGGTGAAAATTTCAGGCAGATTACGGTAAGGTGGCGCTGCCTGTGGAAGAGGAGCGCTCTCACTGTTACCTTCTCTGGCTAGATTTTACTCACGTGTGTGTGTGTGTGTGTGTGTGTGTGTGTGTGTGTGTGTGTGTGTGTGTGTGTGTGTGTGTGTGTGTGTGTGTGTGTGTGTGTGTGTGTGTGTGTGTGTGTGTGTGTGTGTGTGTGTGCGTGTGTGTGTGTTGTGTGGTGTGTGTGTGTGTGTGTGTGTGTGTGTGTGTTGTGTGTGTGTGTGTGTGTGGTGTGTGTGTGTGTGTGTGTGTGTTGTGTGTGTGCGTGTGTGTGTGTGTGTGTGTGTGTGTGTGTGTGTGTGTGTGTGTGTGTGTGTGTGTGTGTGTGTGTGTGTGTGTGTGTGTGTAGATGAATATAGATATGTACTGTATATACAGGTGTATACACACGCATACACGTTCTTATTGATGTACATGTAAATTTACACATCCATCCATACATAGAAATAGACAGGGAGGGAGGGAGGAAGGGAAGAGGGGAGAGGGAGGAAGGAAGGAAGGAAGGAAGGAAGAGAAGGAAGGAAGGAAGGAAGGAGAGAAAAGAGAGGAAGGAAGGGAGAGAAAGTGAGGGAGGGAGAGAGAGGGAGGAAGGAAGGGAGGGGGAAAGAGGGAGAGGGAGGGAGGAAGGAAGGGAGAGAAAGTGAGGGAGGAAGGAAGGGAGAGAGAGGGAGGGAAAGAGGGAGGGAGAGCGTAAGACAAGTCTCCCTCCCCCAGAGGTCGTCGGAGGTCCCCCTTCTTGAGGCGCTGTGCTCGCGGCCCGTGAATCCTTCGCCCGGGGGAAGTAGAGGTCCTTCCATCCTATCACAGGTCTTCCTTTCTCCTCTTTCATCGCTCTCTCTTATCTTTTAGGTTTTTATCTCGCTGTTCTTCATGTTCTTAGATTGGAGTGTTTCCTTATTTTTTGTTTGAGATGTCGTTTCGCTGTTCCTAATTTTTTGTATTATTTATTTATTATTTATTTATTTATTATTATTATTTGTTTATTTATTATTATTAATTAATTAATTAATTGATTATTATTTATTTAGTTAGTTATTATTATTTATTTTATTTTATTATTATTATTTTTTTTTTTTGGGGGGGGGGTCAATCCACTTGTTTTTAAAAGGAGCTTGAATCTTTCTCTTGTTTTTAGTTGCCATTTCATTATTCCTAACCGTAACCTGTATCACTTTTCTTTAGCGTGTTCTCTTAGTTGAAGACGTCATCCGCGTATCCTGTTCTTGAGATTCCACCCAGCGGGGTTGACTAAGATGTATCCTTTTCTTTTCTCAATCTTACGTATTTTTTTTCTGTGATGTGTATCCTTTTTTTCAAATTTTTGCAACTTTTTTCTTAAATTTTAGACAACTTTTTTTTTCTCTCTGTAATATTTCCTTTTTTAAAAATCTCATGCAGCTTTTTTCTTCAGTTTTATGCAACTTTTTTCTCTGTAATATTTCCTTTTTTTAAATCTCATGCAGCTTTTTTCTTCAGTTTTATGCAACTTTTTTCTCTGTAATATGTCCTTTTTTTAAATCTCATGCAACTTTTTTCTTTAGTTTTATGCAACTTTTTAGAAGTCACCTTGATATTCTGACTGTATCATATATCCTTTTCTGTAGATTCTGTAGATGTCCTCTAGTTACTTCTATCTAAAATGCATATCTTTACCTTTATTTTTATTTTTATTATTATTATCCGATTCTCTCCATCGCTACGGGGTTATGAAGTAGAGAAGGAGAGGGTGACGGAGACGGAAAGGGAGAGAGAGAGAGAGAGAGAGAAGAGCAAGCGAGAGAGAGAGAGAGAAAGAGCAAGCGAGAGAGAGAGAGAGAGAAAAAATAGGTATTCAGAAAAAAAAAGAAAGTTTTAAGACCAGCGGCAAAAGCTCAAACATTTTCCCTTTGACTGTGCGTGACCACTGCAATGTAAACTCATGAAGTACCATTTTGTTTACCAGCTGATTGTGTAGCTGCAGCAAAGCGGTGTTCCCTTAACAGCTGTCGTGCTAAGGTAGGGAAAGGAGAGGGAGAGGGGAGAAAGAGAGAGAGAGGAGAGGATGGAGGAGAGGAGAGAGGGAGGAGGAGAGGAGAGAGGGGATGGAGGGAGAGGAGAGAGGGATGGAGGGAGAGGAGAGAGGGAGGGAGGGAGAGGAGAGGGAGAGGGAGGGAGAGGAGAGGAGAGAGAGAGGGAGAGGGAGAGAGAGAGAGAGAGATTGAGATTGAGATTGAGATTGAGATTGAGATTGAGATTGAGATTGAGATTGAGATTGAGATTGAGATTGAGATTGAGATTGAGATTGAGATTGAGATTGAGATTGAGATTGAGATTGAGGAGAGAGAGAGAGAGAGAGAGAGAGAGAGAGAGAGAGAGAGAGAGAGAGAGAGAAGAGAGAGAGAGAGAGAGAGAGAGAGAGAGAGAGAAGAGAGAGAGAGAGAGAGAGAGAGAGAGAGAGAGAGAGAGAGAGAGAGAGAGAGAGAGAGAGAGAGAGAGAGAGAGAGAGAGAAGAGAGAGAGAAGAGAAGAGAGAGAGAGGAGAGAGAGAAGAGAGAGATTGAAAGAGATTGAGAGAGAGATTGAGAGAAGAGAGAGAGAGAGATTGAAAGAGAGAGAGAGAGAGAGAGAGATTGAAAAGAGAGAGAGAGAGAGAGAGATTGAAAAAGATAGAGAGAGAGAGATTGAAAGAGAGAGAGAGAGAGAGATTTGAGAGAGAGATTGAGAGAGAGAGAGAGATTGAGAGAGAGAGAGAAGAGAGAGAGAGGAGAGAGATTGAAAGAGAGAGACGAGAGAGATTGAAGAGAGAGAAAGAGAGAGAGAGATTGAAAGAGAGAGAGAGAGAGAGAGATTGAAAGAGAGAGAGAGAGAGAGATTGAAAGAGAGAGACGAGAGAGAGATTGAAAGAGAGAGAGAGAGAGATTGAAAGAGAGAGAGAGAGATTGAAAGAGAGAGAGAGAGAGATTGAAAGAGAAGAGAGAGAGAGAGAGAGAGAGAGAAGAGGACGAGAGAGGAGAGAGAGAGAGAGAGGGAGAGAGAGAGAGAGAGAGAGAGAGGAGAGAGAGGGAGAGAGAGAGAGGAGAGAGGAGAGGGAGAGGGAGAGAGAGAGAGGGAGAGAGAGAGAGAGGGAGAGGAGAGAGAGAGGGAGAGGAGAGAGAGAGGGAGAAGGAGAGAGAGAGAGAGAGAGAGAGAGAGAGAGAGAGAGAGAGAGAAGAGAGAGAGAGAGAGAGAGAGAGAGAAGAGAGAGACAGACAGACAGATTCAGACAGGAGAGACAGAGAGAGAGAGAAGAGAGAGACGGAGAGAAAAGAGAGGAGAGGGAAAAAGGACAGGGAGCCAGTAAGATAAGAGGAACTAGTTAATGAGTGAGTGAGTGCGTTTGTTGGCGCGAGTGAGTGAATGACTAATGAACTAATTTATTAACGCAAATTAAAACCGAAAAAAAAGGTTGAATCGTTCATTTTTAGCTCATGTCTTCGCTCGACATGACAGCTGCCGTAACGCAGGTGTCGGCGGTAGATAGCGCTGACAGCTGGCACGCTAGATACGGCTAACATAGTAACGTTGAGCCAGCGCCAACTGCCACGCCCCTCCCCCTCCGAGTCCTATCTGCTTGGCACTGTCCTCCCCCGCATATCTAGTCTCCCCTCCCTATCTCCCTATCCCCTGCCCCCTCTCCCCTTTCTCCTCCCCTTCCTCGTATCCTTCTCCCTCCCTCCTTTCCCCGCCTCCTCCTCACTCCTCCTCCTTCGCTCCTACCCCTTCCCCTTCCGCTACCCCCCTCCCCCTCCAGGAACCGCGCGGACCATTCGCGACGCCTGCTAACTTGTTGATGATGTTAAAGGACTCGGCCCTCGNCCCTGTCTTATTGGAGGATCAGACGGTGTCCCATTCTTTTCCTTCTGCTGTCTTTGTGACTTATTGAGCCTGTGGAAATCGTGGGTAAAAAAGGAGAGGGAGGGGGGGAAGGGGGAGAAAGGGGAGGGAGGGGGGGGGTAATTTGTCCCGCTCGTAAAGCTGGGAAAAGGGTCGTGCTACTGAACCCAAGCTTTTCGAAG